CAGCAGGTCTGAAAATCAAGTCTTTGAAATGTAGGAAGGGCTTGCAGGGACATCCCAGCTAAAGGAACCATGTGCAGAGACGGGTCCCTGTACGGTTGTTGCATTGCTCAACACTAGAGATCCCTCAGATAACTACAGATCCAGTGAAGCGATGTGCAAGACCGATCTCTAACAGGTGAACTCTGCCTGCTGATGTTGTCTGGGTAGGCATGCTGTGGTCCTGTCCTCATCACACCCCTTCTGGGAAGGTAGCACTGTTGAGGCTGTGTCCCCTACAAGGACTGTTCCTAGTCCCAGAAACAATGGCTACACTAGGGAGGCAGAACACAGCTCATTCTTGATTCGTGTTACAGAGATGTTACATACTATGGTCCACAGAAACTGCACTATAAGACTGCTTGCTGTAACATGATTTCCTGACTCATTGTGGATTTCTTCAAGTAACACATTAAAAAAACCTGTATACTTCTTAGTTATTGTCCATTTAAAATCAGTTTGTGTGGGGGAAAAGGTATTTATCATCATGACCACCAGGTTAAAGGGAAATACAGTGAGAAGATACATCTTGCCTCTTTTGCTCTGGTCCCAAGGGAGTTTCAGAACTACTGCTATGACCATGTAGATTGTTTTTGAAAGAATCATATGGAAGGCACCTAATAACCATTGAAAGTTCATAAAATATGGGCAGCTAATTACTTCTGGTGCTTTTGAAATTATCCACAGATAAGCTTTCTTACTGAAGCAAGAAAGCTGTAGAAAGACATCTGAATTGTTCAAATTTGCACCAATAACTGTTTTTAAGTCAAAATAGTTGTGGATTAAAAATTGAAAGCATAAAACTTTCCAAATTATTTTTTTCCAGATTAGATGTCTAGCAAAAAACATATTTTTGTGAACATTCTTTCTTCATTAGCTAACATTTTATGCACATCTATTTTTCCATTGTCAAGTTAAATGTGCTAATGCTACTTGTTCACTTAATTAACCAACCATCATATCAGCAGTTTGTTATCTTTCCTTCAGGCATTCTCATGTTCTTCTCTAGCTTTGAGATGTATCTGAAAGACTTTTAGGAATCATTTTGTAATGCCAAAGAAAACAGAGTAGAAAATGTTTGCAAATTGAGCTTGTATCTGAAAGACACTGCAGAATGCGGTTGGTAGGAATTTGTAGCTTTAAATCCTTTGCCTTGCCTGATAAAGAAAAAAACCCACTGATGTTGATCTATACATTGTGGAATGTGTCTTTCAAGGTAAGTAACAGGATATATATGCACACATATATCTATAAATATATATATACACACACATATAGATATACACACACATACGTATATGTTTTTTAAGTGCTGCAGGAAATAAAGCAGTGTAAGTAATAAAACAAAAAAAGAAGAGTTGAACACCATATTGTTGTATCACTGGCTAAAAATATTACATTTTTGGATGGACAGGGATTGCAGGAGTGCTGCACAGTCCTGGAGGAAAGGTCAGGTGTTCCCATGTGCCTGAGCTCCTCATTCTGTTATTTCTTTGGGATTTAAGGTAATCAATTCTACCTTGAAATAGGCAAGATAAGTGTGTGTACATGGTTCATTACACATGGCCACTTGTAATGCTGCCACAGCTCACCTGTACTATACCATCTCTCTGGCTGCTGAGAGTGAGATACTATGCAGTTCTCTGCAATTCATTGCCATCAGCTTTGAGCCCGAGGATTATGAGGGCAGAACTTTGGCCTGTTCAGGACACTGGTTGGTAAAGTCCCATGGGAGAGAGTCCTGAAGGGCAAAGGGGTCCAGGAAGGCTGGACGTTCTTCAAGAAGGAAGTCTTAAAGGCACAGGAGTGGGCTGTCCCAATGTGCCTTAAGATGAACCAGTGGGGAAGATGACTGGTTCAGCCTGGCTGAACAGGGAGTTTTTGCTGGGACTCAGGGAAAAAAAGGAGAGTTTACCACCTTTGGAAGAAGGGGCAGGCAACTCAGGAAGAGTACAGGGATCTAGTTAGGTCATGCAGAGAGGAAATTAGAAAGGCAAAAGCCCAGCTAGAACTCAATCTGGCCACTGTTGTAAGAGATAATAAAAAATGTTTTTACAAGTACATTAACAACAAACAGAGAGCCAAGGAGAATCTCCATCCTTTGTTGGATGCGGGGCGGAACATTGTCACCAAGGATGAGGTGACAATGATTAAACTTAATGCCTTCTTTGCCGCTGTCTTTAATAGCCAGACCAGTCATCTGCAGGGTACTCAGGCCCCTGAGCTGGAAGACAGGGACAGAGAGCAGAATGGAGTTTTTTTTTCCCCATAACCCAGGAGGAAGCAGTTAATGACCTGCTATGCCACCTGGACACTCACAAGTCTATGGGGCCGGATGGGATCCACCCGAGAGTATTGAGCAAGCTGACAGAGGAGCTTGCCAAGCCACTCTCCATCATCTATCAGCAGTCCTGGTTAACAGGGGAGGTCCCAGACGACTGGAGGCTTGCCAATATGATGCCCATCTACAAGAAGGACCGGAAAGAGGATCCCGGGAACTACAGGCCTGTCAGCCTAACCTTGGAGCCGGGGAAGGTTATGTAGCGGATCATCTTGCGCATTCTCATTAGTG